GAAGGAAGGCCTTGAGCCAGTTAGTTATCTGGAAATGGCCACTGTTAAGTAAGGATATTCAGATGCTCTCCACAAATTGTGTTCTATCCAGGTGCCACTCCGTTTTTCATATATGTAATTACATTTATTTATATGAAAACATTAATTTTTAAATGTTCTAGAGCTTCGGGTTTGTGTGAGATTTGAAACTGTGCTGCTTATATGGACTTCTAGGGATGGGGAATGGGGCAAGAAGAGGTGCTAGTTGGCAGCCAACCCCTCCACAGACTTGTCCACAGATTGGTTGTTCACTTCAAAAATGAGTTGTTTCTACTCTGGATTTATAATTTGAAATTGTTTTGGAACAATGTTTTTCAGGGAAGCTTCCAGAGCGAGGGTTATTATTCTCCCTTTGTAATGTAAGCTGGAAAGAGCAAGTTCACCTCATCTGCATTTCTGATTCTTTACCCAAACCATGTCAGCACAGAACAGGGTATTTGAGCTTGACTCCCACATACTTGTGTAAGTTAAAAGACTAAATGAAAATCCAGTAGTGGGGGAAAATAATTTTTTTTTACATCTCCCAAAAAATCTAGAAACATCCCTGTTGTGTTCTGTTTGTTTGTTTGTTTGGGGTTTTTTACTTTTTTTTTGTGCTTTATCTGTGTTTAAAAAAACTGTACTGGGTTATAATGCATTTTATTAACACTATGTACATATTAGCTGCTTTGTGTTTCAGAATGGTAGTAATTGCTTTGTATATTAAAGTGATTCTTGTGAATTTGTGAATTATTGTCATAAAGAAGTGCTTTTTCTTACTGTAACCTTTGTGGTATAAACTGTCATAACTCCCTTTTTACACAAACATTTATGTGCAGTCACATAAACATGCTTTTAAAAACTCTCACAAAGTCTCTTTTTTGAGCAGGATGTTCCATTTACACTAATTTAGTGGCAAATGGCAGCTGATATGAAGATGGGAAAAGGCTTATTTTGAGCAGACTGTGGTGTCCTCTCATGGTCTCTGACCTGCTGAAAGTATCCACGAGGTATTCTCCCCAAAGAGGAGGCTTTTTTAATCTGAGTTGAATTAAGATTAGTGGGATGTTAAGTCCTGAAAAACAAAAGTTTCTCTTTCACTTCTGATATTTTAAACCTGTTTTCCAGTATCCATTCTGGTGGCAGTTCTGTTGTTCAATAATATCTGACAGACTTGTGCCTTTCCTAGTTTAAACATGCTGTGTTTCTCACTTCTAAGCATTCCTGTAAAGCCTGTACTACTGATATTAATGACAGAGCAGTACAGGAACAGAAGGTAGCAAACACTGCAAGGATCACAACCTGATTATGTAATCTGCCAGGCTGGATCCAAACACTGGAATGAAAGCCAGGAGAACAAATTCAGCATTGAGGTAAGCACACCTCCAGGGAAAACCAGAGGAAGCAGGAAGGTCAGCTCATTACAGCTGGGATTTTGAGGTTTTCACAACTGAGCGTTTTCATAATGCCATTTCACGTACTTGCTCCGAAAAATCTACCTCAGTAATGAGGGAGAATCCCTAACAGGGGTTAGTCCACGAGAGAAAAATCCAGTCTGGCTTTGAATTTCACACTGAGAAGAACTGGGTAACACAGATCCCTGTGCAGTCAGTAGGTCAGCTGGTAAACCTTTTGACCACTGCTGCACCTTGAAGCTCTTGGTCCATAAGATACAGAGCTGAATCTCATACTATGTGTCTTCATAGCAATCAAACACTACTTCAGTTGCGATTACATTTAAGAAAAGTTTGTTTGCTTGCAAAATGGCATGTTTCAGAGATGGTTTCTCAGTCTCACAGCATGTTCATGTCTTACCTGGTCACTTCCTTGTGGATCCACCCCCTAGGGTGAGTAGATTTCTAAAGAGACTCTGTGCATTGCTTCAGTACTTGGGGACCCATGCCCAAACATATCCTCCCTACAGATGAACTCAAATCATCTGTTACAAAACAGGACCCAAGCAATGGAACCACCCAAAGAAGAGTGATTCTCTAGCACTGGGATGAACAGGGTGACAGAAAGGGCTTGGGCAGGGTGTTCGTGTAATTGCCAAACAACTGCTGAAGCATTACCATGCATCAGCTCATATTAGAGCAGGAGGTCACCTGGGACCAAGGGGTTGGGACACCAGAGTTTGCAGGTGTCATCACAGAGAGTGGCTCTCTGTGCTTACTCACTGCAGTGGCAATTGCATCTCTGCTACTTCTGTGTGTCTGGTGTGATTCACTCCCAACCTCTCCCTGAGGCTGTGATGGGAATACAAAAAAACCTGTGAAGCCCAACCTGTGACAACAGAAGCCACTGCTCACTGCCTGGTGCAGGTGGATGTTAGCACTGCCCAGCAGGAACAGACTGTAGTTTTCAGCTGAGTTAATGTTCTTACTGTTGGTGCCTGCCCCTGAACACTGTAGCTTTAAAAGCCACCACAACTGATATGGCCTAACTGTAATATTCCTGGATCTGGTCTCCTAAATCTGACAGAGCACCTGCACCCCAGCAGCAGTCAGAGGAGAAGGTGTGCCCTTAAGGGGGTGCCACTTGCTGGGCTGGAGAGGGGCCACTAAGAGCTCACCTCTGCAGGTCAGGGGCAAGGCATCACCTGAGCTGCCAGTATCATCTCATGCTTTTCTCCAAAAGTCTTTATTTACGGGCAGTAGCATTGCTTCAGCCTCCAAATAGCTACTGTGTAACAGCAGCACAACAAAAGAAGCCAAGCCTGGTCTCTACTGGCACATGCCTGCTCTGGCAGGAAGGCTGAGGGCAGTAACAGCAGCAACGGGAAATCAGGCACTGAAGGCTTAACTAAACAATTAGAAAGAGATGCAATTAAACTGATTTGTCTTAAAAGTACAAAGCTGTTCCTATCGTCAAAGCAAGGCCTGGGGCAAATCCCCGTTCTTAAAAGCATGTAGGTTGCTGCACTAGGCTTTATCCTGTGCTATTTAAGCAGGCTTTTAGCATGTTCCTGCTATGGCAACAGTGCAAGCTGCTACTGCTGTCAGCATTGCTAGCTGCAGCCCCTTGCGAGGCCTGAGCACAGACCAAGTCACAGGTATTCAAAAGCCCAAGCACCAGCACACTGCTTTCTGCCAGCTCCAGCCCGGGGCGAGCCTAAAGTACAGACCAGCCTCATGCCTAATGCCTACTTGCAGACGAGCTCAGAGACAAGGAAACACCAGTGGGCAGCAAAATGAAGAGGATGGTGAGAACTTTACAGCCACACTTCAAAAACTAGAGCCAGAGAGAGTAGGGAGAGCTTATAATTATTTTCAACCATTGCTCACCCAACTGCGAGGAGAGAAAAAGCCACATCTGATGCATTAAAGTTCATATTGTGTTCTGTTTTTAATTAAAGGTGCTGTCTTCCTTCCCTCAAAAGGACTTCAACGCTCGTTCCAGACTGCAAATTCCCAGCCAGCTGCGTAAGTACTGTTCTAGTGACACCGTGTGGCTTCTGAGGATACTGTTGTAGCAAGCAGCAACTCAGGCCGAGACTGGAGCCAAGCAAGGAACTTCACTGGAAACACGCGAGACACACCAGGGATGAAGCACAAGACATTTGGGCCCCGTTCACGAGACCTGTAATGTTAAATGTGTCATTTCCAGATTACAGTCATCACAGCACTTCTGGACCACAGACCCTCTGCATCTTTTCCAGCCAGGAAGTATGATGTAAGCAGAAGTTACAAAAAGCTCCAAAACGTCCACGGCCCAAAACAGCTGCTGCTGTTTGCTGTTGCCAGTGCCAAAGACATGCATATGCTAAAAGCTTGAACCTGACCTGACTCCTTGAAAGTTTAAAGAAAAAGAAGTTCCACTTCCACAAAAAAAAAAAAGTAGCAATGCAAATCCTGCATTTAGAAGCATAGCTGTCTTCTGTTTAGCCCATTGTTTTCATCAGTTTCATTCTTCTACCACTAGAAAGAAGTCTGTGAGCCAGAATCCAGGCTGCAGCATTTTTACCACAGGATCTTGTGGGATAAACACACAGATGTGTTTTACAAGCTGAAGGTATTAAAACAGTTGCTTAGAACAGTGTCTAACTATCACTGTGTACGGAAAGCATGCTGAAATCTAGACACTGCCCCGAGGTCCCACGTAATACAAGAATAAATACTTCCCCTACTACAAAGACTTCACAGCAGCACCTTCCTCACCTAAATAACAGCTCTTGGAGACAGAGTGAGCACAAAGAAAGACAGAAAGTAGAACATTATTTAGCAGTACTTTGAAAGGACTGATTTGATATCTAAAGAACAGTTTGCATCTCCTTGTTTCACTTCCCCTCCTGGCACATGTGCATGTGTTACCTGCTCCAAAGAACCTTGTTCTGTGTGAGGGAGAGTTATTAGGGACCCATGAACCACAACTGCTTTGGAACTGCAGGCACAGCCCCCAAGCCTGCAAGACAGGTAAAAACACCACTGATTTCTCAACTAGCTTACTCAGAAATCTAGATTCCCAGTCTGTCTCCTCACCCCTCTCCTGCCAGATGTTGTTCTTTGTTTCCCTGTGCCTCTTCAATTTGGCTGTGACAGCAATAGAACAACTTTATAGCAACTGCCTTCTTTCTCTTTGCCCTTTAAGTGGCTTCTTTTACCACAGCTTTTAAGATGCAGAAGGCCTGAAGATTTAAAACATTTAGAGCTGAAGCCTTGCTTCTATTTCATCCAAGCAATAAGGGGGGAAAAACACACAGTAATCTATTTAAATTTCTCACAGAAATGAAGTGTGGTTTGATTTTAAACAACAGGCCTTTTGATGACAATTTTGATACCTGGAGATTTCTGAAGCTTAAATCAGTTTCAAAAATTACATTCGATTAAAAAGTCAGTGGAAGACCCAATACAACTCTATTCAGAAATGAAGCAGAGGCTCCATGTACAAAACAGAAGTACAATCCTTGCTGTATGAGACCAAGTGATCAGACCAGACCACTACAACTAGAAGCCAGTGAAATAACACAACTGCAACTTTATGCTTAGGAATCAGTGTATTGAGTAGAAACAAAGGGGAGAATTGAACAGCATCAGTGGTTTATTAACAAAGCACAGGATCAAAACTCATCCTTGCGACTACCCCTCTGTGCTTTGTAGATATGAACGTCCTTACTAGAATCATAGTGGACCTCATATACAGAGAAACGGTCTCTCAGCATCTTCAGGAACTTGAGATCCCGTTTATAGCGGATACGGCAGGAAAGAAGAATCACAGTTTGCTCTGAGCACAGGTGCTCCAGTGTCTGAAGCAGTTCTGGAAAAGTTTCTTCCAGATAAACGATGTCTGCACCCAGAACGAAGTCATATGCTCCTGGAGGGAAGTTACCGAGGTCTTTTCCCCAAGTCAGCTCCTTCACCACAGCTCTTGGACGTAGCTCAGGAGGTAAGTTAGCCTCTACATTTGACTCCAGGAACTCCAGTGCTGCCTCCCTGTCCGTGATGGTAACACGAGCACCTAAGTGGTACAGGAGTACATGGTTCAGACAAGCAGTCCATGTCTGTAAACACAGCACCTGGAATACGCTGCTCTAAGTTGAGCAGGCTCCTTAGTTCCTGTTAAACATTGACAGCTCCCCTGAGCTGCCTGATTAAAAACAAACAAACAAGGGAACAAAACAAGCAAACTCCCCACTACCTACATACATCCTACTCTTCATCAGATTTTGCATGGCATGGTTGTATCCTGTCAAACCTCTCTGTTTGTATTATTTCAATAGGCACCTTCCACAGCCACTAGAGCTCTGAATTACAAAGCTAACTTGGGACAGGTAGCACAAATTTAACATAGAACCCAGTGTCCCTGCTTCAGCCACTGGCAAATCACTTCACTTCTCCAGACCTTGGCTTCCCTGTCTGCAAGATAAGCTAACTAGGTTTACGCAAGCTCAGAGAGTGTTTTCTGTCTGTAGCTTTATCTGCACATGGGGAAGCACAGCACTTGTTCCCTGAGGGAGAATAGCTCCAGAACTGCATGCTGCTGAGCTGCCTGCCACGGTAACAGGCGTCAGCCTTAACAGAGTCCTGCCACAAAGTAAACTGCAGTGGCACCATCACTACAAATATCGCAGCAGGCTCTCAAGTCTAACAAGAAAGGAAGCTGACTCAGAGAGGAACCATCACAGTTCATATATGCAGCTCTGGTGCTCACTTCCCTACCAGGCATGTAGATGTAAAAGTGCTTGTTTTACTACAGTTGTAAATTGCTTTAAACAAGCAAACAAAAAAAAACACCTCACCTAATAATGTGGCCACTATTCCCAGCAATCCAGTTCCAGCTCCCAGCTCAATCACAGACCGGTCCATGAGATCAATGCCTTCCATCTCCAGATAAGCGCACAGGACAACAGCCTAGGCCAAGAGACAAGGACAGCTAAGCACGGGGCTCATTTCAGTTATACTGAACACAGGGTCTCTGGTTTAACCTGAGGTAGAAGGCTGTGGGGAGGGCCAGGTGCTTCAGGTTTGCAGCAGGACATTGTTCAGCCCTTCTCTGCCTCCTGTGTGCACATGTGGGTTTTTTAAGTTTTATGGAAGACTATTGCTAGCACAAAGAACCACAGAGATTACAACTCGAATGTGGTAACTGCTCCATGAATCCCCAAATCTAACAGGAGGTAGAATGAGATGTATTTGGAAAGGGAAAGCTGAGGGGGTGTCAAACACTAGTGAACGAATACAGTATTGCAAGAGACCAAGATAAGGTTTCATAGTATCTTGCATGGTATTTCAAAAGGTTTCTGTACAACACTGAAATGCCATCAGGAAGGCCACAGGGAAAGTAAAGTAGTAACACTTCTATCTGGTTGTACCTAACGTGTATTTTATATAAATCTTGATAAGGAGCTCTCCCCATAGCAAGTTCTGTCAAAGCTGATGTCCACAAAGACCAACAGCCCTGTATACCAACTCATTTGGGGAGTTTGCTATGCCTGTTCTTTCAAACTAGAGGTAACAGTGCAGTTTGTGTGTGAGCTGAGACCCGACTGACAGAAAGCCCTTGGATTCCTACAATGGTGCTGTGAGCGACTGCCCTGCAGCCTTGGGCCTGCCACAACCCCTCTGCTCTGGACATTCCTTATGCACAAGATAAAGACTATCAGGAGTCCTTCGTGAGGCCACAGGGAGTGGATCCACGCTGTGCTCTGACGGGCGCTGAGCAAACAGCGCCAGTCACTGCTAAGAAGTGGGTCAGAGTTCTGAGCCTTATCCCGGAATATTTCCCGTGCTTGGCACTGGCCATGCAGGCTTCAGGTGGCCCGTCTCCCTCGCCAGTCCTCTAGGACCTCTTAGGAGGGGCGAAAAGAAACAAACGGTAAAGCACGGTTTAACGTTTTCTTTCCAAATCAATCAATCAATAAAGGGTAAAGCCTTCCCTTTATAAAT